TAAGCTCAGCTATTGTTTTCTAACGAAATAACTTAGTGAATAACCCGATAGATGCGGCATATTAGGATATAGTTCTATGGGAAGTTTTGATCCGATTTGAACCATTTTTGGCACAGAAATCCTCATATTTCAATACAAGACCTTACAGATTAATCGATATGTTATGTAAAAAAATTCGCCATATGCACTGGGGTCTATATATTTCATATAAGCTTTTCTGAAAAGAAATAGTCCGTTTTCGACCATTTCGTGCGTAAGTTGAACCATCTTGAGGGCTCTTTTGGGGAAAAGTTTTAATCTGATAGTTTGATTTGTATACAGGAAACTAAAGGAATTAAGTAGAGTTTAAAAGATCATCTTAGTACTCACTGTAAAGTTTCGACCGGAATGCTCGTACTCTCTCGCCGCATCTCCATATCGACCATTCTTTGTATTATGTCACCGGAATAAACGGTTTTCAGATCCTGCACGACAAATATAAAAATGAAACATTGGCATAAACAAAAAACCTAATATTGAATTTTTAAGCCAAGTTATACCGCTGCTGAGCCCAGTGGGGAGCCCTTCAGAAACGAAAACCTACTCATCAGTGTATTATTTGATATCGTCTCTCTATATTTTGCCTGTAATAGAACAAATTCAGCGCATTTATTCCCAATATCATACATACAATAAAATCACAAAGAACTTACCGTTGGCGGTGGTATAATCAGATACGTACGTATGCTGTGTTGTTGCAATAGCGAATCATTGATGGCCTTCTCTGTACCATCTTCATATTGGAATTCATCGTCTAAACGTTCGAGTGTTTCGCCGCTAATGTGTACACGACCGGGTACGCCGGTATTCTCCAAACGATTAGCGATCTCAACATCTTTCGAGTAGATATCGAATTTCCATTTAGTGGCGCCAATGACACCAGATAACACGCTACCTGAATGGACGCCAATGCGTATGTCCATTTCCAAGTCCCTGGTATCGCTGTACCGGTATCATTCATATATTAGTGTGTTACCAGAAATTTTGCAATAGTTAAGGCTCACCGCTCCGTGTGGATCTCTTGTATCATGCGTAGACCAAGTCGCACACAAGCATTGGCGTGATCCTCGTTGGGTATGGAGACATTCGCCACACAATAATAACAATCGCCCAGAAACTGTATTCTCAGTACGTCCAAATCCTATAAGAGATTAAGTGCTCATGTGTTTAAGTTCTCAAGTGAAAATTAGTGGTGTAACTACCAGCGCTGCATCATCAAATCTAACGTAGAGGTCATGCAGAGTCTCCACAAGTGTTTTCACATCCACAGTTGTGGTTAGCTTGGTATAGTTGACCATATCAGCGTAGAGTATTGTCACATCGTCGTGTGTTTCAATGAAGAGTTTTCTATATAACATTCTATTTCATAAAGAGTAAATAAAAAATTACTTAATTGGGATTAAATTAAATTTTTATTACCAAACTATCTTTTCAGACTATATTCAGCTGCTACTAGGCTTGAAAATTTGTTTAGAGAACATTGTAAACATCTTTCTATACTATAAGTATATATAGTAAATCCTACGCTAAAGAGAAGTTAAAAAACCCCTTGAGATGAGACATAAAAGTTTATCTATTTAAAACAATATCTGAAATCCTATAGCCTAATAAGCTTTACCTCACTCCTTAGCGTTTAGATCACCTCTTTTGAGTCAAAGTATAATATCCTATAAGTTGGAGATGGAATTTAATGGTACATATCAGTGGCGGATTGATAGAGGATTGGAGTGCTCCCAGAGAGCTCCTAATTATGGATCCGCCACTGTTTCATTTGTTCACCAAAGGTATTCCCACAATTTCCAAAAAGTTTCTAAAAGTATTGGCAAAAAATACTATAAGATATAGTCTGGAGGAATATGGTCGACTAAAAAACTCAGTAAATTTTAAAAAATTCCAATAGTTAAAAAAGTACCCCCACAGTTACTTTAGAGGTAAAAAGATTAGAGTTAGTACCAATACTTTACTCTCCAGAAAATTTTATGAAAAGTCTATAATATCTTTAGAAGAGAACTCAACTCGATATTTAAGAGCGCTGAGCACTCTCAGTTAACATATGAGCGCTCAATAGCTTTTATCGAGAGCGACGGCATATATTTTCTCTGCAAGATTTTATACTCACTCCGCTTCTCGCTGAAAAGATGAGCGTCTGCGCGAAGTTAAACTCGTGCGTGTCAAACGTAACTTTATATCCTCCTCTATTTTATCAGCAATTGGTGCCGGTATCATGCTTAAAAGTAATATTTTCTATACAAATAAAAAAATATATATATGTATATATAATTTTATATACAGCAACTTTGGCGAAAAATCTAATTTTTTTTATAAAGCACCTCTTGAGTTTTGGCAGCATGCAGCAGAAGATCCTCTTCAACGCACTCACGCTTGTCGATGAAGGTTTGCCGTACCACTATTTCACGTGGTAATCGAAAAAATAAGCCCAATAAATTGAGCCCCACCATAAACAAGATTTCAGATATGATTTTCTCTTCGTCCATACTGGTGCCGCCATCAACTTTCATCCGATGCGTTATCGTCAGGAATAATATGATATAACACAGTGATATTGTAACGCCCAAAATGAATGGTTGGCGATGGCTAAAAAACGGCATATATATGTAAACTGAATAGATAATGAAACTATAGAATATCGGCACAAAGATCTCATAACGTGTGACGGCGTGAAACACCGGCACGGTTATATCTGCAAAGAATGATAAAAATCAACCCGCATCATTTGTAATTTATTGTTATTTTCAACCCATTTTTTCTTGACTCACCCATTGCCGTAAGAAATATTATTGACAGAACTGCTACATAAATAATCCAAGCAAATTTCATAATCGCCCGCTTCGATATGCCTAGATAAATGGCCACGACAGACAAAATCGTGAAAACCATATAGATTGATATGTCAGTTGCTGCCTGAAATCGAATTTATTTAGAGAATATTTTGTCGCTATTATTATTTTTTAAGAAAATTTGTTGTAACCTCGTCAGAATTGACCAGCAACACACAATAGATGACCATTATAGTGATGAGTATCGTCAAGAACGTGGTCAATTGTATCCTAAGCAGGCGCGCCATGTAGGTTTGGTAAATCTTCTCCACGTCATATTTGCGGCAATGTTCCTGCAAAAAATTTGATCATCTTTTACTATCAGCCCATTTAAGGTTTATGCATTGCGTCTTACCCTTAACACGCTTAGCTCATTTCTGTCCTTGAACTGATGTGTTACATCGTCTAATATTGTGCCAACATTGACCGAAGCTTTACGATTACGATCGTAGGGAGCATACATCGCTGTTTGAAAAAATTGAAATTATAACGAAAAAATCATAACGATACTCAACTGTTATTATTTGATAATTGAGTTGTCGTTCGGTTTTTGTTTTATACAATTCTTTTCATATTTGACGCAACACACTCTCTATTTCGTTTAACAAGTGTTTACATTTATGCTTACGGAACTGTAAGAGGCGAAAGTTTTTCGAAATACTGACTTTGAACAAAACAAGAAAAAATGTTAACTTCAGCCATACCGAAGCCATAATATCCTTCACCAGATTTTTGTATAGCAAATTGGATTTAAAAATATATCTTTAATTTTACTTTGATCGATCAGTTTGAATGGCAGCTATAAGCGATAGTGTTCCGATCTGAACAATATGTTCGGATTTCTTAGCATTCGCTTGGAATATAATCCAGTAGAATTTTTGTGTATATATTTTGTCAAATCAAGAAGTTTTCCTAACCAAAACTTGACTTCGATCGATCAGTTTCGAACAATGAACAGTTTCTTTAGGAGATGTCAACGTGTGCACAATTTCAGATCAATATTTCTAAAACTAAGCGACTAGAACACGACGCAGCTTGTTGCGCTGGTTAGGTTAGACTAGGTTATATTGAAGAACTGCCACGCCATATATAGACCTGTTGATTCTTAGTAATGCCAGATAAAGCTTCAATTTAATTTGAGCTGAAATATTTGCCTTACAGGCCGTGAACGATTTTCACGATCTTCAAGACCCACTTAATATCTCATCTACCTTCTTAAACAGTGAAGCTGCAACATATTTTAGACGAATATTGGATAAGGCTATACAGAAGCAGAGTAGGTGTTTAAGCGTATCTCTCATGCCTACTTCACTGGATTTTCAGCATGTATCGTCATTATTTATGTCCATCCAACGCTCATGTGATGCTAATAGGTTCTGACCTGTCATTAGACCAACAACCATCCTACAGTCCTTTCAAGACCGTGTAAGTAAACAACATGCGTCCTTTGCCTCGGAGCTCTTCCTCATGATCTTGGCTATCCTGTATGTCCTTAAGGTATTCCATTTAACCCTGATTCATCTAGCAAGCTTTTCGGAAATGTCAATATGTATCGTTTTTAGGGACTTTCTTAATTACAGAAAAACTTCGGTAGCAAGTAGATGACATTTGTGGCAATATCATCGGCTATTTCGTTTCACGGAATACCTTTGCGGCCAGGAATGAGTATGTATGCAGCCGCTTTCCAGCAATTCGGCAATAACTGCATTTTTTATCTCCTTCTTTATGTTGTTTGCTGCTTTCTTAGCCGCATTCCTGACCGAAAAGAATCTCGGAAGGACGTCTGAGCTCCAGGTCTGAGCAATAGACTCCGACCTCCAATCCATTTTCTGATCTCGTTGGTCATTATATTTATTATACTTAAAAACATTTTAGGTCTCCGACGTTTCTTGAATACCTTACGTTAAGCTGACCTATAACTTCTCAATATTGCTTCTCGGTGCTTTTTAATAACAAGTGAGATAACATTGTTATAGAATATGCAAATGTATTACCTACATAAATATATCTCCGAACACTAGCTTTAAACCTATTTTATTCTCGACCACTCAATTTATTTATGATCTCATACATCTCATTTTACTTTAAGCATTTACAAATATTACTTAAGTTAGTTATACAAATTTATGCCGTGTCAATATCAAAGCCGGTTTCGGTTTTATCACTTGTTAGTCGCACGTAATTCAAATCGTCATCAATTGTTACAAAATAAGTGGGAATAAAATCACGCCCCTTAACATATGTCTGTCCTCTATATGTACATTGAACATTGAATGCCTTCAATATACGTGCTGTTTCTTCAGTAACCTGAATTGAATCCTCTAAACCGGTAGAGTCCATACGTGAGGCCATATTAACCGCATTGCCCCAAATATCGTAAAATGGTTTGTACAAGCCTACAACGCCGGCCATAACAGGACCATTCGATATGCCTATAATGGAGGTATTAAACCATAAATGAAGGCTGAGACATTCGAGATGGAGCATTGATAGGAAAAACTTTTAAGGCCTTCTTGATTTAAGCCGGAGCTTACTAACTCTTATTTTAATTTTTATTTTATTTTATTTTTTTCTTTCCTTTAATGAGTTTTTCTTATCCATACACTATATAAAATTTGTTCTCAACAATGAATTAGTATATTACCAATACGTAAAGCACCTAGGGTACGCTTCTTGTCGTCACTTTGAATATTCTCCTCGTTGAATTCTTTCATTTTTTGCAGTAGATCTAAAGCAAAGTTCAACATAATAAATACAACTTCATTTCCCTCAGCTGTACTATCCTGATTAAGTACAACACTTGGAGCTACATTTAAGCCTGAGAATATACTTCTCGATAAAGCTGCATTCATACCGTCATCTGAAATAAATACCAATGGATAACGATCGGACATTAACGAACTTTACTCGCACAATCAAGGAATTAAATTGTACACAAAACTTTGACCTAATATTTGTTGTCATATTCTATGATATCATACGACGCAATACTGAAGGATTATTGTTGTAGTTTTTGCAGCGGAAAAATTCGAAGAATTCTGCTCACTTGAGGGGCCTTCTTAAAATAAAGCGGGTCGGTTGTGATCACGATTACCGAATGCCGCAGAAACGGTTATTTAGGGTCTTATGAGGCCTGGGGAGTATCAAAAGCAGTGCCGCATAGTCCAGCTTTGTTCAGAACTTTAATTAATAATCGACTAAACTGTGGTAAAATGAAAGAATCTCGTAAGTTGGTTGTGATAACACGATAACAGTGCCACGCTTTTACGGAATGCTATACTAAATATGTGCCTGATTAAATTTATGTAATTTCAATATGAACCAATATGAAAAAAACACTACGTAGCCTGTTAGGTGAGTATGATAACTGTGTTAAGTACATATAATAGTATGCTTACCGGATGATGTTGTGGAGAATACTCGATTTCTTTTAACCATTGAGTTACCGGCATTCAAACCACATGCAGCCATATATGTCCAACCAGCAACTTTGATTTTCTCAATCTTATCGAAGCCCTGATAGGTGCTTAGCTAATATATTGTTAATATCACTCATTTACTCTTCTAAGTAGAGAACAAAGCAAATATTTCGCTCACCACTTCATCAAAATCGCAAATAATTTCATTCAAAACACGCATTCCAACCTGTTCTGTGTCGTAATTCCGTATAGTCGCAAACATCACTGCTACGTTTTCATATTCCTCATAGCAGAGTTCGCTCGTCAACTGATCTTTCATGTAAATATTCACTTCACGAAAGGAAAGGAAAAAGAGATAATTAAAAGTGTGCCTTCACACAGAAAATATCTTATTGAAGAGAGGTTTTGATATGATAAAATATATTTTGTGTAGGGGAAAGGAAGTAAGTGGATTTTTATCTTCCATTGAGAGTTCTTTATTATTAACTATTATCAATTCAATCGAGAGAAAAGCAGTAAGAAAATTATATCCCTATAAAGTATTGCTTTTAGAACCGTGAATACCTCCTGGATCTACTTGGTATAAAGTTTTGGAACAAATTAATTCATAAAATGACAAATGTGAACTTGTGGAACACTGTATACTTTATAAAGAAATGCCGTATGTGAATTTCTGGAATAATGTTCACTGGTAACCCATTTCGGTCATGCCACATAAATACGTTCCGAAAATGAAAAAAAAATATTTATTTGAAAAAAATTCGGTATTTGCCCAAAATATTCATTCGAAAGTAGAAAATATTTACCTATATGAGATGGTAAAATATTAGCAATCAAAATTGAAATGGTTTGGTTTGTAAATTTTGCGTCTTCCTTTTTCTTTCTCAACTCATGTTTCCAACTACAAGAAAGCAAAACAAAACAAAAACCATGTTCCGTTTAGCTGAACAAGAAATCATCGTTTTACTCACTTAAAGTCCATTCGTGTAATAAATTCAATTTCTCTGTTCATTATATGGAATATCCAAGCGGTTCTACACAGCACCATTATATGTGCGAATTCGGGAAAGAAATATGGATTGGAACTTACGCTATATTCGTACAAGAAATCATAGACCGCAAATACAACAATTACATAAATTATTGTCACCGAGAGAGCAATAATCCATTTTAAAATGTAAGAAATGTGCGTAAATAAAAATATTGTACCGACATGGATCACCACAGACTCGGTGACAGCCTGAAAATGTAGTATGTATATAGCATTGGTGAGTAGAGATTTTTATTTCATGTATGGTGACTTACCCAAGGCGTAAAGCATACGTTATTTATGTCATTCTGATTTGCATGTGTCTCGATAACTTCATTCACAACTCGGAACTGATTGCAATCTAGCTAAAGAAAATACATATATGTATATAGAACTGTAGTAACGGAGTCGCAGAGTATATTTCTTGTATATGTTATTCTCTTTCTGATTTGCTCTGAACAAAGTGCATAAAGTTTGCCATGATGTTTGTAACCAAAAAAAAGAACTATGGCGATCCCTCATGTTTAAAGATATTGATGTAAAATTGTGTACAAGTTCTTTCCTTATCAAGGAGCTGCTTATTTATCGAATCCGTAAATATCGGATAACCAACCAAAGTCCTTGCATGGAAAACTGTTTTATTTGATAATGTATCTTCACGAAATTCGGCTCAGGTTGATATTAAAGATATCGCCACAAACTCTGCGCGTATTGTTAAGATCGGACCATTGGTGCGTATAGCTGCCATACAAACTGGCCGGTCAAGTTCAAGTCCTTCTAGAAAAAACTTTTTTATTTGACAACATGTCTTCACGGAATTCAGCACAGATTATTACCAAAGCTATTGCAAGTATCTCCGAAGATTTTGTGTAGATTTGACTACTATAGCATATAGCTTTCATATAAACTGACAAATCAAACTCAAGTCCTTGTTTAGAAAACATTTTATTTGACAAGCTATCTTCACCAAAATCAGCAGAAATTATTTGCTTAGTTATTTCTATAATACCGCTATATATTGTGCAGATCAGACAACTATAGCATAAAGCTGTTGTACAAACCGGCCGATCAAATGCAAGAAAAATAATTTTTTATAACCTGTTTTACTATAAAATATGTATGTGGAAGGGTATTATAGCTTCGGTTCAGCCCCAGTTAACATTTCTTCTTTTGTTTTATTTATGCACATATCTCGAAAACTACTACAGCTATGTCAACCACACTCTATAGAGTCGTTCCTTCAGGCATCTCCATATACAGTTCAAAAATGGAAGAAATCGGATAATAACCACGCCCACCTCCCATACAAAGGCTATGTTGAAAATCACTAAAAGTATGTTAACCGACTAAAAAAAAACGTCAGAAACACTAGATTTTACGGAAGATATGGCAGAAGAAAGCTGCACCCAGGCTTTTTTTTTTTTTAATTGAAAATGGACGTGGCGTCGCCCACTTATGGACCAAAAACCATATCTCAGGAACCCCTCGATCGATTTCAATGAAATTCGGTATATAATATTTTCTTAACACGCTGATGATATATACGAAATATGGTTGAAATGTGTTCTCAACCACTTTCCAATATAACGCTATTTTGAATTCCATCTGATGCCTTCTCTGTATAATATATACATTAGGAACCAGTAGGATGATAGCGGAATAAAACTTTACACAAATACGGTATTTGAGCTGAGGTATTCCTTGTGGAAAAATTGTCGTGATCGGACTACAACTTTTCAAGGTCCCAGGTAAATGTCCCAGATATTTTCATGTAATTCAGAGGGCATCATTTTTATACWCTCACAATAAAGTTGCTAATAACGGTATATATCGTCAGATATATGGTTACATATACCAAAGTGATCAGGGTGACGAGTAGAGTTGAAATCCGGATGTATGTCTATCCGTCCGTGTAAGCTGTAACTTGAGTAAAAATTGAGATATCTTGTGAAACTGGTGTTGCTAGAGTAGAAAATGTTCGGTGATACCCGAACTTAGCCCTTCCTTACTTGTTTTTTGTCAGTGTTAAGTGTTGAAAACAATCGCATGTGTATACGTTACCATTTGCATTGTAATCAAAGAGAATTGCAGCAGTACTATTAACAAATATACGATGGTACGAAACTTGAAGTTTCTTTGTGCTCTATCTGAAAGTTTGAATAACCAGTAGCTGAGCCGTTGTTTGGGTCCCGATATTAAAGGTGAACCATAAAAGTATGCCCACACTTTTCTATACCACACCAAACAAAAGATGAATAGAAACAAGACAACTGTGCAAATAGCCAAATCCCAAAATATCGAAATTTGTCTGAAAAAATAAGCAATTGCTATTACAACAATTTACAGACAGACATATACATATACACTTACACTGTGTTGTAGTATTGTATTAGTATAAGGGCCCAGSTGACTAACATGGCTACCAGAACGCTGTATTTGTGTAGTATATCGGACTGTTGCATGAAGTTATACTCCCAACGCCAATTCTTGTAGCACATAAAGAGCCATGAAATGTTCGCATAAAAGGTGGACTTTTCACTTTCACTTCCCCTGCCGCGTGAACGTTGTCCAAATAACAGTTTTCTATATCTGTGTTGTTGGAAAAAAAGTTTTGAACATACTTTTTTTATTTTATATAACGTCAATAACTTACTGCTGCACCAAACCGAAAATTGGAAATTTGCAACTTTCTTGATTCATCTCGAAATGCACTAGGGTTCTCATTTTTTGCGCTGAATCAACATCTTTAAATTCCTAAATTTTTCCAAGTGAACGAAAGTATTTTAAAATTCTTAATGAAGAATTGTGAGCAGTTACTTGCCTCATCAGCGGACAGTCCTCGTGTAAAGACGGATCGTCTTGTACCCACGTCAACCTTTGGATATAAAGAAACAAGAAAAAACTTTAAATTTGGATGCAGCGAAACTATCAGCTGTATACTATAAATAATTAAATCTGAAAACGAAAGTGGACAACAGTTTGCATTCGAAAAAGGGTCGCTTATCCCCGTTTGATCGATCCGGTAACCAACCTAACCGTAGGTTACTTATTGAGGGCTAAAGTTATCTTCGGTTGCATTAAACCTTGCATACTCTTCACAAATTAAAAAGTTTTCCAAACAAGAACTTTGTTTTCATTGTTGAGGTTATATGACAGCTATATACTATAGTCATCCAATCTGAAACATTTCTTGAGATATTATAGCGTTGTCTTGGGCAATAGTTCATGTAAAATTTCGTGAGAATACCTTGTCAGAGAAAAAGGTTTTTCTCACAAGGATTTAAATTTGATCGGTCATTTTGTATGACAGCTATTTATTATTGTCATCCAATCTGAAAATTATCTTCAAATATTACAGCGTTGCCTTTAAAAATAACCTATGTAAAATTTCAAGAAGATACCTTGTCAACTAAAGAATTTTTTCTTGAAAGAAAGTGTTTTAGTAGCTATATGATAAATTTGTCCAATATCGACGGTTCCAAGATATGAGCAGCTTTATGTAGAGACGGTAATTCAGATCGATATCTCAAAATGTGAGGAACTAGTTGATAATATATATATATACAGACAAACAGAGACAGGTACAGCTAAATCTACTCAGTTCGTTACACTAATCAATTACTTTTATACTTTATAGCGTATCCGACATTTCCTTCTCGCTGTTGCAAACTTCGTATACCTTCGTCTTACTTTGTATACCCTTTTCATATGGTTCTACATTTCCCTCTCTCTCACACTCACCACGGGTTTAATGATTAAGAATGTGGTGATTTGGTATCTTCGCAAGAGTGGATCAAAGCGTGCCGCCTTTGTACCCGGTTCGTATTGAAATCGTTTATCCAGCCGTTCCAAAGTTTGCTTGCTTATATGCACCCTACCTGGTAAGCCAGTGCTTTCTAGCTGATTGGCGATTTCGACATCTTTCGAATATATATCAAATTGCCACTTGGTGGCACCGATTACGCCCGATAAGACACTACCAGAATGGACGCCAATGCGCATATCAATACCTAAATTTCTATGCTCTCTACAAATGCCAAATGGCAGTTATGTAAAATTGGTATTCAAAAATAAATTGCTTTTATTCACCCCACTTCACGTATGTCTTCAATCATGCGGAGTCCGAGTTTCACACAAGCTCTGGCGTGCTCTTCGTTGGGTGTAGAAACGTTCGCGGCACAATAATAACAATCACCCAAGAACTGTATTCTCAAGACGTCTAACTCCTGTGTATTGTAGAATTTATTGAGAATGAGAATTTTTTGAAAGTCAATAAATTAATATATGTTCTCACCTGTGCGCCGTCATCGAAACGCACGAAGAGTTCGTGTAGCGTCTCCACAAGCGTTTTCGCATTCAACGTTGTTGTGAGCTTGGTATAGTTGACTATGTCCGCATAAAGAATTGTGACATCGTCGTGAGGCTCTATGAAAAGCTTTCTGAAAGGATATATATTTGAAGCAAATTAAAAAAACTTATATATTGAAAGTATGTTTTCAGATCTATGAAGATATTTTAGGAAGTAACATCAGAAGTTCGTCGTTCTCAACGAGATCTCGATTAATTTAACCGAATCAAAAAATTTGTACGCAACCCAGTTAGACATATTTGAGGCATGTAACAAAGAAAACCAGACATACACAAAAACTTTGTCAATTCGATCAAATGTAAAGTCTTGATAATCCTACTTTTCTCGTAAGATTATGTGAAAAAGCTTTGAAGGCCTTTAGCTCCACAAAAATCCACCACAAATCTTGTGAGTAAAACAGAAGATTTTCGCTTAGTGCAATATTACAAAAATAAAAATTATCACCATGGGACTTTGGTTTTGAAAACTACAAGTCGTAGTACTTTGTGGGATCACTATTATGTGTTTTATGATAATACAATTATTGACTTCAATTATCTGCATAAAGTATTTTAAAAAGTTGGCAACTTTTCTGAATAATATATTTTACAGATTTTTTTTAAATCTGTTAATTCTAAGATTCATATTGCAATAATTTTCTTATATTTCCAATTAAAAAAAAATAAAAAAAGTTTTGCAGGCAAATTTTTACCTGCAATTATTATTAAATCTCTCTCATCGGATGTTTGTATTATAATCAATACTTATTAAATAAAATTCTGAAAATTTTGTAACGGGTGGCAACCCTGCTAAAATTTTAATAGGTGGCAAACCTGTCAAACTTTTACCCGTAATTATTGTTAAATCTCTCTCATTCGATATTTGTATTATAATCAATGCTTATTAAATAAAATTCTGAAAAAAAATTTATCAGGTGGCAACCCTGCTAAAATTTTAATAGATGGCAACCCTGTTAAACTGTTTTTCAAATATAAATAAATGACGTTAGACGTCTTATTAGGCAAGTGATAATTTTTATATTTTACTCAAAAATTTAAACTAGGTGGTAACATTTAATAGGCGAAATTTTTTCCAAAAGTGTTGTTAACCGTAATAATTCTTACATACCTCTCATTCGTTATTTATATTGTAATTAATGTTTATCAGAAAAATTTCTGACAAAAATTTTTTTAACAGGTGGTAACCCTGCTCAAAAGTTTTAGTGGCAATACTGCTCACTGATTCTTTTTATATTACACCTAAAAATTTAAACTAAATGGTAACCCTCAATGGAGCAAAATATTTACAAAAAATAACTTTAACTGAAATTATTCTTTAAATCATCTAATTTGATATTTATATTAAACAGTTGGATACTTTGCTCAAAATATTTTTAATGGCAACAGTGCTGAAATTTTTTTTTTTTTTTTAAATAATGCAATTAATGAAATGCATTTACATACACGCCTACTTGCCTGATTATTTATATATTTCCTTTAAAAATTTTAATTTCTTATTATTATTAAATCTTTCTTATTTGACTTTTGTATTGTGATCAATACTTATTAAATAAATTTCTGAAAAACTTTTAACATGTGGAAATCCTGCTAAAATTTAACAGGTGGCCTGTAAAATTTTTAAATTAATAAATTCAGTTAGCCGCCTTATCAGACAAGTGATAATTTTTAAAGGGGCAAAATGTTCGCAAGAATAATTTTAACTGTAATTATTCTTAAAATACTCTAATTGGATGTTTATATTGAACAGTTGGCAATTCTGTTGAAATTTTTTTTCTAAATAGAGCAATTAATCATCCAAAATAAAATGGGCATACCGCAGTCTGCACTTTGTTGGCGCTCTGTTTATTTCGAGTGTGACGGAATTTCGTTGCGTAACAAAATTTCGTGTTTGATCGATGTTACACCGACTTTGAGTTTGTTAAAAAAATGTAAAACATACATTTTACTGCAAAGAAAAACTTTCGAATGGTTTTAGTGCTACCAAGGTTAAAGAGTTTGAAAGACTAATCTAGACAATGTTTCTCCAAGCAGGAGATTAGCCACCTCTGTCCCATAAATTGGGGAGCATGAACCACTAAGCACCAATTTTCAACCGCATACTATTATTTTAGACAGTAATCGATCATTCTTATGAACCAACCTTATTTTCTCCAACGAATGTGCGTAGTCTGGATTTTTCATAAGCTCAATGCGCAGCTTGACATCGTCCTCCATTTGTTTTGCGATCTGTTGTGGAATCATGCTCAATAAGAGACTTTTCTATAAACAAAAAATAATAAATTTAAATTGGCAATCACAACAACTACAAACATTTCATAAATACCTCCTGATCTTTAGCAGCATGAAACAGTAGATCCTCTTCGATGCACTGACGTTTATCCAGAAATGTCATGCGTGTATTCACTTCGCGTGCCAAACGCATAAATATGCCAAATAAATTCATGCAACATAACGCTATGTATTCAGCGGTGCCTTTTGTGTAATCGAAACTTTTCGAACCCTGCTCTGTCCAAAAATAGACTTGTAATTTCAAAAAGACCACGTAAAATGCAGATGCCAAAAGTCCCAAAACAATCGCATAAATATCGCTGACAATCGGCATGAAGCAGTATATAGCGAATACGATGAAATTCATATAAACCGGTATGGTGATATTGCGCCTAAAGGTATGCAGAAGCGATACAGAGGCATCTGCCGGGACGGAAGTAGCATGGATTTAGCCGTTATGAATAGAATATTAAGTATAACACGTTTTTGTCCTTATACCACTCACTCACCCATTCCAATGACTACTATGACGACCAGTAACGATATCAAACTCGACCTAATCGTATATGATTTTTGTAAATTCCGCCTTAAGCCGATCGCTAATATTATAATTATCAGTAAGGTGCCACCAACATATATACACACATCTCTATAGATCTCTTTTCTTTCCTAAGACGTTTTTTTCAATATCTTAAATTCGATATATAACATTTTTTATAAGCAATTTATAAGCCGACCTGTGACGATAGTGTGGTGAGCAACAGTCCCGCGTGAATAGAGGTATTAAGCACGAGCATTACCATAAATGAATATAGTTGATTTATATGCAAGCGTCGCATGTAGCTCTTATAGAACTCCTCCACATCCTTTTCCCTGCAGTATTCCTAAAGCACAAAAAACAAAAAAATAGAAATTTAAATAAGAAAAAAATTACAAAATTGTTGTCTCTGCATGTCGTTTACCCTCAATATACTGAGCTCCCATTTTTTATTGGCCTTCAAGTGGTCCGACATATCTCTAGAAAGGGTTACCGATGCAATTGTCTCATGACGCCATATTGATCGGCGCGCCATATTATATAATTTATTTTAAATATTTTTTCTTGGCCTGAACAAATAAATTTACACGTCTTTTTTCAGAATGAGCTTTGTATGTGTTTTGATTGGCTTTCTTTGAAAAATCGAAAAAGCAAAATAGGAAAAAAATCTAACAAAGCAGACGTTACATGCACAGGCGGAGTCACGTGAATTATTATATAAGATAGATGTTGCTATAAAATGTGTATCAAGTAAAGTTCAGGCTCATAATAATATGTCCCCTTGAGTAGTTAACGATAGGTGATTACTAAGACGCTTAACTGGTTGCATTCTGATTTTTTTATAACTCCATAAGGTACTCTCATTCGGCTTAAGTTTCGTAAATTAGGCTGTCAATAAAATGCATATTATTTATATTGCGTTGGGACTCCAAAACAGACTTATGAAACACTTGGAACTTCAGCTCTTCATTCGGATACCATTACCTTCAGTTAAGTAACGGTGGAAAGCCAAAGGCTTGAAGTTTTCGATATAAATTTCATGCCTACATAACAGGGCAATATGTCTGACACTCTGTTTGAAGAACGAAATCGCCTAAAAATGGACGCATTTGAAGAAAAATAATGTGGTATTTCACCAAGACAATAGATCATATCACATGTCAGTGAAAACGACGTCAAATATTCGGGAATTGTGCTTCAAATTTTTTCGGTATTCATCGTATTCTCCAGATCGGGTCCCCAGCGACTATTTCCTGTTCGCAAATCTCAAAATGATGTCCGCTGGGAAGAAATTTTCCCGGGGGACGTTTAAATTGATTATGTAATACAATTAATTTTTCTATAGTTCTAATTGTTCTTTTGGATTGTTTTAAAATCGAGACTGTTAGTGTGAAGTATTTGCAGGAGTCATGAAAGAGACTTTTCCATTCCTTGAAACACTTTTTATAAGCTTTAATTTAAATGGATTTCAGCTCCTTCAGCGAATCTTATTTTATCTATTCAATCGATTGGAAACGGGTTCCATTAAGATGATTGTTAACTTCTTTTTCATGTCCAACTCATAAACCCTTGACTCATACAAGTTAAGCTGCTCTTCAAGAATATGAAATCGGAATTCGCACAATCAAAAATGTCCAAAGAGTGTTCTTTTTGAAAAAATTCAGCTTTATCGGGACGAGTAGAGCAAGAACGCGTTTCATATCAAAAATATCCACCAAAATCATATGAATTGACTCGCGAGAGATGTCGAGCTCACTTGCCATGTCTCTAACACTTACCTGACGATTTTCAAGCACCAAATCCTCTCTCTTTCTCTCACTCACTCTTTTAATGTTTTCATCCCTCGAAGAGATCAAAGGTCGTACAGAACGAGAAAGAATATACAAAATTTGAGACAAGTTCCTTATTCGATATTTTTATCCATTGTAAAACCTGCAACGGACTACTGATATGCACCGACTTAAGCATGAATAGTTTGTGTATTTTCTTGGCACCAGAGTCGCGCCACTCAGTTGAAAGTGAGCCTCATCGTCATATAAATATATGATTTATACTCGTATACTTAATAAAATCATTATCGTTTTAAAGTTGTTCCGAAGCAAAATCAGTAATTTCATGACGTTTATGGTGGGCCGATGACTTCAGTTCTTGACAATTTTCTACGGACACAAGCTCAAAGTTCGCGAGGTTATGGTTTGCGACAGTCTTAATTCTTAAGAACGTCTCGGAACGGAAAAACTGCGGTCTTCAGCAACACTTTCCTGAAAGGCAGCAACATTTTCAATCTTTCGAGAGGTTCTTTGTCTTATCAGCACATGAAAATTTTGCAAAGAAAACAACAGTTGACGAACAAAGAGCACAGGTGGGCGATTATAGTAACCATAAAATGGCCAAAATGCGCGAAAGGTTGCAATTGGAGGACGATTATTTTAGTAATACAATAGAATAATTTGTTAACGTTCTTCTTTTTTGTTGACTTACGTTGAACTTATAGCTAATGCATGAAGTAAGTCTTCTGCAAAAATAGCTTCAACAGCTGGCCTTGGCTTCGAAGATTACAAATATTTAGGGCTGACTTTGTTTGATTAGCATAAATTATATTTCTGAGATCAGACGAATTGAAATATAATTACCAAATCATGCATTCTGCACTTGATTTAATACGTTATTCTGAGTTTATTTTAAAGCACAAATATTTGCGTGTATAAATTAATTAACCACAGAAATGGAACTGACAACGAGACTTGCGAACGAAATTTGGAATGCAATTAATTTTCACTTAAATAGCAAGACAATAAATCCCACCAATCGGACAGTTCGAACTATTTCTGCTCTGGGCCACTGATAAAATGTGTAAGTAGTAAATTGAGGCATTTAAATCAATTAGAAACAAATTTCAAAATCACGTTTTACAACAACAAATTCATGTATTTAATATATATGGGAAAATAAGCTGCTTTAGAGTACAAAAGCTGGACTTTGATAGTTGCGCTTTTATTGCTTGACGCCCCATATATGACAATATATTTATATATATACATACATATTTGTCGAAATGCATATCGTCAAACCGTTACGTATGTATATTTGTGAAAACGAAGTAAAGTGGCGCTTAAGTGCAAACATGCCAACACAAAAAATCGATTAAAAGATAAGCTCTTCATATCCGTCGGATCATATACGTATCGGATTCATATCTTCACCCACAACAACAAGCTGACACGCCATAACTCGAGCTTTACATACAACTGTATGTGTGTGTGTATGTATGGGTGAGTAGAAGCACTTAACGCTAAAAAGTCACAACAAAAGTTTGAAAACCTGCTTTATATAAGTATAACGGCACCTATGTATACATATATCCATTTTAGTTGGCCCATTGACGGTTTGACGGCTTGAATGGAATTTAAACACAATCACACATACACATGTAGGTATGAAGGTGCCTGCTTTGTTAGCCGCTTTGTTGTTGGTTAAAGAACACTCAAATTCATTCAATATTCACTTTTTTATGACATTAGAATGAAGACAATTAACTACTTAGGAATACAATTAAATACCTTCAAGAAGCAGCCGAATGGTCAATGAGGTCAACACTCATTCTTACGCCTCTAATTCTGGCTAGATATAAATTTTGAATTGAAAAAAATTGTCCTTTACCTTCAGCTAGCCAGGAACGACTCGGTGGCCTGCCTTGATACAAAACAGAGTTCAAAGCTACATGCATGTACAAACTTCAGACTATCAAGAAATAGCGTTTATATCCTTGTATATACCTCTACATCTATATCAAAAAATATGGTATAGATGCGTTCTTTATTAAAGTCAATGTAAAAATATATATGCTTTCCGAAAAACTATATTTCGATTAGGTCTATTGATACAGTTAACTGCTGTTGAAGCATAATGTGGAAGAAAGAGTAAAGAAGGCCCTAAATGCAAGTAGGCGGATGTTCGATATAAGCTGGGAGCTGGGGTGCCCTAACGGTTGCTTTAATAACCACGGCATTGGTGGCTCTTGAACTAATGCTAAAACTGCCATTTAAATGTCTAATCACTGACAACTACGCGGCAAAATCGGAAAGACGAAGACTGGCGGCAAGAAAAGTTACGTATGGAAATCTCGAGCATAGCTTAGTGGACAACGGCAAGTTGGCAGGTAAACTACATGAATCCTCTTTTCAATTGGGATAAAAGATTTGGAGTAAAGTTTGAAAGATATTGTTGGATTCATACGGATGTCTCTAAAATAGAAGAACTAGCCTAATTTAAATCTGCTGATAGTTCTGAGACTCCCCCAAATTGCGGATATCTTCATTTTCAGCAATTTATTTATATTTAATAAAAAAAAAGACACCTAACACCACCATGAGTGCATTAAAAAGAAGTAGAATTCTCTGAAAACCAAGATTATTGCGTGTCATTTGAATTGGAGCAGAGACGTTGAAAGCCGAGTTTGCATGTCATAAATGCTGTTTGAGCGCTACGAAAAGAAGTCGTTTTGCTAAAGAATGTGGCTGGCGATAAAAAGTGGTCCATTACGACAACCTGAATCCAAAATTATCGTATATGATGGCTGTGTCAAATCGGCAGCGACTCACTCACTCGTATTATTGCCCAGACCATCATTTTTCAGACTACATATCTTTTCTTTCGTTCAATCAAAACACTATTCTTGGTACACGGTTCTAATAAGAATCAAAAATTATCGTTATTCATTCTTGGCCGTCAAGTCAGGGCGTGAAAGATAAGAATATGTTCTAGCTTCAGATGGGCAATATTATTAAATCATTAAAAGTGATCGCTTTACTTCAAATTTTCCGAAGGTATTCATTTGGAAAAATACCGATAATTTTGACGTTCTAGATTTAAAAATTGACGGTTTCATAGTTTGATCCCTAACGTTAAGTGATTGTCGAATTCACTCAAATCGAAACTAACATAGTTAAAGTCTTGTCGTCAGTGAAGGTTCTCCTTTTCCTCTTATTCCAGTTGGGACTGCATTAAATACTCTCAGATATGGAGTGTTTTCATCCATTCGGGCGACAGGACCTAGCCAGTGTAGACGCTGTC